GAAGCCGCTGCTTCCTGGATCACCTGAGCCGTTGATGGACCAAGACCTGGGGCCGGGGTGACCCCAGCGGGAGATGCTGCCTTGGCTGACTCAGCCTCAGCTTCAACTTTACGCACCGCAGCCTTGGGATTTGGTTGGGCTTGCGCCTTAGCCGTAGGACTCCCTGAAGTGCCCCCTCCTGGCGATGTGCATTGAGCTTTCGAATGGCTCTGACCCCCACAATTGAAGCAACGCCCCTTCATCCCCTGGGACCTGTCATGAGCATACGGACAGTTGGATCCCCTAGGACACCCCTGTTCAGATGCAAACTGTCTGCATGCCTCCTTGGTTTCACCTGTCTTCTTGGGCTTATCCCCCTGCCCCTTACCAGCCTTACCATCACCTTTCTTACCGTTGCCCTTTCCTCCACCATCCCCCTTTCCGGTTGGAGAACCTGCTTCCCCACCACCTTGTCCACCTTCGCGCTCATTGGCTAGGTTGGCAATACGGGCTTTCTTATCAGCAGGTGCGCTGAGTTGCAGGGTTTCCAACTCTGCCAAGTACAATTGGGCAAGCGAAACAACCAATGGATGGGTTGGCTGATGCTCTATGCCATGTTGTAACCGGAACGCCTGAACCCGAAATACGGCCGAAGTGTCACTCAGATGGCTGCTGGCTAACTTGTCAACTGCTTTCACGAGCAAGGTTGCGTCCGGACTTGACAACTGAAGTTCCGAAGCTCGGGCGAGCCACCGAATCCACCTACGCAACCCCTTCACAGCTGCACCAACATCCTTTGGAATCTCAGGATTCACGAGGTATTGGAGGATGCTGGCCTTCTCAGCCTGACCTGCAGGTTGATAGCGCGTGTGAAGAAGAAAGAGGATACCTACAGGTGTAAGCGCCCGAACTGTCACGACCTCTGATTTGACAGACTGGGGGACTGATTCAAGCAGCAGGTTTGTGACCCTTTGCGATAACAAAGCACACCGAGATTCTGCTGCGGTAACACTCCCTGCCTCAATGGCCTGCTGACGGATGGTGAGGCGGGTCACCGGATCCGAACACAACCACTGAGCATAGAACTCCTGAACTTGTCGCATAATTCCTTCAAACCACCCTGTAGCACTCGCAGTGAGCGAACCCACAATGGGCGTGATGGTCACCATCCAGTCTCCAAGAATCACCGCGCCCTGCTCAGGGCTGTAGTCCTCCAACTTCGGAAGAGATTGCACGTACCTCGAGGGCTCCTCAGATCGAACCCCAGGTTGCGGGACCTCAGTTGGTGGAGGTGGAGGTGGTGGGACCGGTACCGGTCCATAGGGCCATATCCCCGGTACACCCTGAACCGATGACCAATTGGGCATGAATGCAGGAAACATGGACGGTGGTATCGACATCGGTACAGCTCCCGGCCAAAAGTAATCAGGAATAGGAGGGGCAGGAGCATCTTGAAAGGAAGACTGATCTACCCTATCAACCGGCGGTGCTCCCAGTGGAATGCTAGTACCACCTGGCGTTGTGTTCCTGTCAGGCGGCGGCGTGACAGGCGGCGTGCAAGCAGGTGGCCTGATCTCCGTTCCCCCCGGGGTACAATCATAACGAATGATCCTAGGCTTGATTGGGGTTTTAGGGGTGCTGGGCTCATCGGGGATGCACTGCGCGGCATGCTTACATCAGACGAGCCCCGTTCACCAGACTCTCCAATGAAGAACTGCTCAGCTCGCCTAACCTGCGCAACTGGAAGAGATCTATCCTGAGCACTCCCAAAACCCGGAGTCCCCTGAACATGTGAATCCGGATCAATGGTAGCATGCAAAGCTTGGCGCTCTGACTCCAGAGAAACATGGACCTGACCACGGCCTGGATCTTGCATAGTCTGCGCTGGGAACTGCACGCTGGCGCTCCCGACATGTGGCAAACCTACACCTGGTCCCACAACCACTCCAGCGAACCCCGAGCCCGAACCTTGACCTGGACCGTGACTCAAAGGAATCTGCATCTGATCATGCACTGATGTTGGCCCTAACCCTGGCACTAGACCTCCCAACAACCTCGGATCAACACCATGAGCCTGACTTGGATCTTGATTCAGCGAACCCTGCGTTGGACACTGCATGGGTGCATTGCCTGAGCCTGGCAATAAAGGCCCCCTAGGTCCAGCAGAAGATTTCGGAACTTGCATCGGCAGAGCTGCGGGTCTTTGGGCACGACGGCTACCCATACTAGAATCAGACTCAAGACTAAGACCCTGAAAACCAACTCCCAACCCACCCCAATGAGCGGCTTGTGGTGGCTCCCGTCCTGGGTGCGACTGCAATGAGATCGATCCTGAGCGCCGGCTTGTGCGATCATCCTCCAAGCGCTCCATACGAACCAACATGGACTCCATCATTGAAGTCAAGCGGTCATAAGAACGCTGCTCATCTGAGCTCGGTTCTCTGCCTCGCAGAACTCTACCCGACTCTGGCAAACGACCCCGTTCCATGGAAGACCACACGGAAGGTTGAGGAGAGCTAGATCTCTTCACACTGTGTACAGGCGTCAAGGCTTGCAAAGGCATCGCAAGGCCACCTGGAAATTGCGCCGATCGTGTCCCCTCAAGGCCTAAAGCATCATAAACACTATGCTCTCTAGAGATAACATCAGGAGCATCAGAGGCTCTGCCACCTCCCGCGGTATCATGATACGAAGGCTCAGCTTGGCGATCATCTATGCGCACTTCCTGTTTATGCTGCGCAAACTCAGCATCTCCACTTTCTGGCCCAACTTGCGGTCCAGCAGAAGCAGCTTCAGCAGATTGCATAGCGGAGCTAGCACCGGAGCCATTGCTTGGGCTCATAACCCCGGCTTAACAAAGGGGACCTTGGACCTAGCCGGGGCACCGCTACACCGAAGTAACTAGCTACGGACTCAGAAGCCTCAAGAACCCACGAGAGAACGACCCTCCCCGAAGAGCCCTGAAGAGAAACCCAAACCCAGGACCGGCTCTTTTTCTTGAGCCAAATGCAGAGCCCCCAAGTTGCGTGTCATCCTTGCGCTGGGGCCAGGACCTTCGCAGAGCTGTTCACATGGAGCTTTCTCCACTTCAGCCTACGTCCTGTTCACATGGAGTCCTTCTCCACTTCAGTCTACATCTGCGCAGGGTCACACTATTCACCTGGCTCCTTGGCGAAAGTTTGCGCTGTGCTCCTCACATATTTCATCCACCGTCCTGTGAGTGCTCGCCTCCCGAAAATTGCGGTGGAGGCTTCAAAAGGTCAAAATCTGCAGTCACCTGGTTCACGAAGATTAAGGGTTTCATCCTACACCCGAAACTTACCCTTAACCCCTAAACCCGAAACCGTACCACTTCGTGCCTCCAACCCTTGCACGATACTCATGTGGGCTGGTTGTACCCACGATTGGATCAACTGCAACTGCAATTTGTTCGGGCAACACGGCGTAGATGTTGATTAAAGGTTAGCATCCCAAAGTACAGCATGTGATGTCATGCCCTACTTCTTGAATGGAATAGAGAACGGTCCTTTGTGATCTTCCGTTGTGATAAGAACCCTCAAGAAGACTTGCATCAACACCTAGCACCAGTAGCGGAAGCAACCGTGCATCCAAAACTATGACGTCTAGTAAGTAGGGTACCTGGTATCGATTTGGGATAATTTCTAACTTCCCCTCATTTCCTGAATATAGAGCCCCAATTATATCTACTTCGAACACTGTCGAAATCGACACGGAGTGTAGTGTAGCGGCCTCAATAATTACCTGTACTATTTTGGCGGTGCCTTATTACAGCTATAGTATAGCGGGCCCCAAAACGCTATTCTAATTATTCAGGCCCCCTATATAAGGGTTTGTTGCCACCTGGAGCTTTGGAGCCATGGTCCAGCGAGACATGGCGGGCGCCACGGAGATGACGAGGGAGCAGATGATAGCCATGAAGGAGTCGATCAAGAGCCCAAAAAAGCCCTAAAACCCAAAAGCCCTAAAGCATTAAAGCCCTAAGCCCCAAAAAAACACAAACGCCTAAAGGGTTCTTGAAATAGTTTTGAAGGAGACTTTCAGGTTTCATCTGGTTCGGGAGTGGGAGTGTAGAAGGACTCAGAAGAAGTTCAGGACCCTTAATAAGGACACCTAGGTATATACCCTTCCTATAGCTATTATATACCCATTATATAGCCGGGTTCAGGCCGCGGAGAGTTCGGGCTATGGGAGTTTCACGCTCTTCCCTCAGAGGGCTGTTGCAAGAGGATTTTGGGCTTCTTTGGTTCGACGGCTGATGTGTACTTGGAGGGTCGGGGGACTTAGTAAGTAGGTAGTAAGTAGACTTATACGTACCCTAATAGGGACCCGAGGGGGTTACGATACTTATAAGTCTCTAAAATAACTATTTACTAAGTCCCCTGACCCTGCAAGTAGGGAATCTTCCAAAAGCGTCCACCATGGCCGACTTCACTGTGCAGTTTGGACTCTGGGTGCCTTGCCAGCGAGGGCTCGACCCAAAATTAGGAAGGTGCCCTAAGTCATGGTCGGGAGCCTCCTGAACCCTAAAACTCGCCGAGACAGAGGCCCAAACCCTTGGGCTCCATCCCATATGCTTACACGATCATCGGACTCAGAAAGCCTTTACTTGGCGATAGGATTTTTTTTCGAACGCGGAAGGCTTTCGTCAGCAAGCCCATCAGCACCGACCTATTTGGCGATAGGATAATCCTGCTAATAACCGAGTGACTGAGTATACCCTGACCGTTCACATGGCGTTCACATGGAACTAGAGCCCGATTTCTGGGTCACTTCAAATGCACCGGACTTTTATAAGGACCCTGACCTTAAAAGGCGCCGAAAACATGTTCTCATAATAATAATAATAATAATAATAAGAGCAATAACAATGAGGCACTGTATACACGGGACCTCGCAAATATTTCATCAGACTTCGTAGACCCTGCAACAACCCTAAACCCTAAGCCCAGCAAGACGCAGAAACTCCATGCAAGGAGGGCTTAGAGGCGCAGATCCGCGCCATGGGCCAGGCGGAGGACCCAAAAGCGCAGCTGGATGGCAACCCAGGCCTACTTGAATGATCATGGGACTTAGTAAGTATGGTTATAAGTAACTATAAATATAGTTGCCTTCATTAGAACGCTAGTTACTAAGTCCCATGACCCTTTAAGTAGAGGATCGAAAGAATCGAACCCCCAACCAAGCTAGCCAACCACTTTCTGGCAAATTGTAAGCAGAAACCCTGGCAGGAGGGCCTAGAGATCGGCTTAGAGTTTAGGGTTCGAATAAGGCTTCGATACTAGGTTCTGTCAGGTTTATGTAAGACACCTGAGGGTTTCCAAAGGTAGATCCCACCAATTAGCTCCTCTAAAGTATTCTTTAGTAGTTTGTGCAAGAGCGGCTTTCCTGGTTAAAGTGGCACAGGGGTATAGCAGAACTTTCGGCACTTGCTTGGAATAGTCGATGCGGCTTAGGTTAGGTTGTGGGGCTCGTATGTTTCAAGGTTCAGGGTGTCAAGTGCTTCTGCGGATTGAGTTTCTGTGTTTCCTGTCCGATGTTTGAGATTTTCGCGCTTTGTCCTCAGCCGGGGCTTGCTGCCATGGGGCACGACTGTCTGGTCTGCAATGCTGGGATCTGGTTTGGGCTGAGATCAGAACCCGCACAGTTGAAGATCCTCGATTCCTAGGATCTGGCTTCAACAGGCCTTTCGTTCCCTTCCGCGGATTCCTGTATTCCCGAGTGAGAGTGGCAGTCCCCAGCCTTGAGCAACTCGAGAGCTTCTTCAGAGTTCTGGGGCTTTCGGACTCAAGTGTAGTGCTGCAGGCAGGGCAGCAAAGGAAGTCTCGACATGCTAAGGTTGTGGTCGGATCCTGCTTATGAGGCCCCCCAAAATCAAGTACCCATACTCTTTTTGAAATCCAAGGTGTCTTGCAGGCAAGTTCACGCAAGCAGCTGGCTACAAGGGCGAAGTGGAGGAGGAAGCTGGGCAGCAGGTTCGTCGTTGAGTCCAACTGCGCAGAAACCTCTACAAAAACACCAGCCCACACTTTCTTTGTCGCCGGGCTCTTCTCTGGAACAGCTCCCTGAGTACATGTGTATAGGGCTTGTACAGTACAGTCAAGAGCAAGTCTCCGGACATGATGTGTCCGCAAGACCGTGCAGTGCCAGCAGGAGCCCAGAAAGCTGGAAACTGGCCAGATGCATCTTGGAATGCTCTGATCTCCACGTTGCATATTGGTCACCGCCAACACTCGCTTCCTTGCGACAGCGCAAGGTACGAAGTTGTAGCGAATTTCGTTGCGGTTCGGAAGCTTCCATCGCTTGAGGCCCTGGAGTTTTATGAAATCGCTACACTGCCATGGCACGATCACCTGCATATGCTTCCAGGCTCCCTTCGTTCGGCGGCTGAAGAAAGGTGCCAAAGTAGAGATGTTTGAGTGGGACAAGACCCGTCGCATCTCGGGCGTGCAAGGATTGGTTTTTGCACAACGCGACAAATGCTCTGCTGGTCAGTTGCATGAACCAAGGATGGCGGAGGGTGTGCATCGCACTTGGCTGAGCTTGTGAAAGCGTTGATCCGCACGTTCGAGAGGGAAGATGCTTTGTCATCTCGCTGCGGTGCCAGGAAGCACCAGTCGATGCGGAAACGAAGCCAAGGGCTCCGACCATGACGGAGGCACAGAGGAGGCACAGCTGTGTAGCAGCCCGCTCCGCTTGAGACCATGGGCATGAAGGTTACTTAAAGGGTCATGGGACTTAGCAACTAGGGTTATAATTAGGGTAACTATATTCAGAAGTACTTGTAACCCCAATAAAGGTACTTATAACCCCACTTACTAAGTCCCATAATCCTCCAAGTACCCCAAAGGCAAAAACCCCTAAAGTTCAGGTGGGCGACCGGCGAGCCTGTGTGGGATTCAGCGAGGGGAAAATGGGTGGATGCCGCCCCAAAGATAGAAGTCCTGGATTCTGATTCCGATGCGGAAGATGCGGCTTCTGGGCTTCAAGAGCTCAGAAAAGATCTTGTCCGAAAGCTGCTTGAAAGAGCCCACGCAACAGAGGGCATCATACTGCAGGGGCCTAAATAATTACTTATACTACTTTGGGGTGGGTTGGTTCCTCATGTTATTTATAGTATAATGGGCCCCAAATAACCTGTTCTAGTTATTAAGGCCCCCGAATTAGCCAAGCGCCTTTCGCCTCTTTCTTTCCATCCATGCTCTTGGCCTCCACTTCCCAGGTGGTGAGAAGAGATGCGTGGATCATGGTCCCTGCTCTGAACTAGTCTGATTTCTCTGTGCTTTTCACTTATCAGCATTCGAAACAAGATCCAGCGTTCACGCGTTTATACTCGCGATCGAGAGGTTCACCATCCAGAGATGGGCCTTCTACTGCAAGCAGTACAACCTGGTGACCTACCGGAAGCCCAGCTCAGTGGCTCTGACATGCATTCGTTGTCCTAGAGCTGTTTTGTATGCAGTCATGCAGCAAGAGGCCAACAAAGTATTGAAAGTTCCTTGAACGTCCGCTCTGTACAACGATCTACCACAGTGTACTACAATCTTTCTACAATACCCAACAGTTGTTTACAATATACCATCGTTTACTAGAAAAATATGGTACGATATGCTCAAGAAGCTGTAGCATACGACAATATGGGACAGTACACGACCATATAGTAAAATATACTGCGAAAGACTGCAATAGACCATGATGTTTTATCATATACTTTCATGTGCTGCTAGACCACAACATACTACAATAGACTACTATGTACTGCAATATCCGCCAGTGCACTACATTGCACGCTATATGCCCATAGATTGTAATATTTGACAGCATACTTCAGGATTACAATACTTGTGATATACAATGCGTTGTAACACAGGCTATAACATGTTACAATGTATTCCAAGATGATAGAATCTACAACATACGATAATAAACCAATGCAATCTATATTACATGACTGTAAGTTAAAATATCAACTTGTTGCTATGATATATTGCAATAGACTATGACATACTCCAGTATACCATAATATATTGCAATAGACACTACTATTTCCAACATACTGTAATATGCTACCATCGACGACAGTATCTTCAATGTACTAGACACAAAGCATGGTGGCTCTACAATGCAGGAGCGGTCATTGCAGAATCCAACACCCTTTTCGGGCTCATGGAGCCCTCATCGGAACATGATAAGCAAGGCTCAAAGGCTACATGCATTACATCCCAGCAAAAAAACCCACTGATGTGAGAAGTGCATACCGAGGCACAGCCTTTCCCGGTGCCCTTCTGCCCAAAGCCACAACCGAACCGCATATGTTTGACTTGGCCTTCATCGACAGGCGATCCTGCGGCGAACGAGCCGAAGCCTGTAACTTGAATTCTCTTTGGAAGTGCTTTGGATTTTTTGATAAAGCAAACGACAGAAGCACTGACAGATTGACTGCTGTCTTCCAGCAACCCGAATACGACGAAGGTCAAGAGGCAACAGGACCAGCACCTGCCTGGGCAAGCAGCGGTGCCTGCAACCGCTGCTTTTGCAGTGGAGAAGGCTCCACTCAATGTCTCACCTTCGAAGCTTACATGCCCGGAGCAGCGTCGCTTCCTAGACTTGTCAGGCGCGCTTCGATTTCTACTGGGGCAACACTCCCAATGCGGCGCCACCGCCCTTGCAGAGCCAGCCAGTCGTTCAGGGTCATGGACCACAGATTCTACCCGCTGCACGTCATGACGCAGATTTCGCCCCTGAGGTTTCTCGGCAACTCCTTTTCCAGACTTTTCAAGTAGTGGATCTTGGCGGAGAGATCCGCATAGCCTTCATGCTGTTCAGGTGCCGGCCGAGCCCGCTCTCATCTCGGCGGTGCGAAGTGGGGATGAAGAGTCGGCAAGGGGCCGAGATCGGCTCAAGTTGTGTGGGAAAGTTCGAAGCAGCAGCACAGACGAGAAACACGAAACTTCAGATTGAAAGACCAGAACTGTCAGCTGCGAGGTTCGCGTGCTGCTGCAGACTGGTCACGATCCCAACATTGTGGATGCTTTGGGCTCTCCGGCGGCACAACTGTTTCCCAGGCATGAAAACTTTACCGTTTGCACAAGCGTGTTCTCCTGTGACATTCCTGAGTAGAACGAGAGCACGGTTTTGCCGTCTGCCCGTGTGGGACGTCGACTTGAATCATCATCATCAGCAGCAACATCCTTATTCATCATCATGAACATCATAGCCCCGGCATTTGGGTTTCGGCTTTGCCATGACTGCGATGATGCGAAGCATGAGACTCACAATAAAGTGTTGAATGGCGTTCATGCTGGTGTTGACAATGCTATCATATGAGCATCCGAACAATGCTGGTATAAGTGACGGGTGATGGTGATGCTGATGATGATGACGATAATGGAAGCATGTGCTGTGTGAGAATATTTGCAACTCTGAAATGCGCGGGGAAGGCGGGGAAACTTGAGGAAGAAGAGCCCAGTTATTCCCAGAATATCAGCCCGGTGCGCTGCAAGCCCAAGACCTGAAAACAGTGCACGGTGCAGATTTGCATATGGCTGACTACGAGTAGTAGCAGTAGCAGCAGTAGTAGTAGTAGTAGTCGTGGGGGTGGTGGTGGTGGTGGTGGTGGTGGTGGTGGCGGCGGCGGCGGTAGCCGTCGTAGTCGTAGTGTTAGTGGTGGTCCTAGTGATAGTGATACTAATACTAAGATAAACTAGTAGTAGCAGCAGTAGCTCAAGCAGTGGTAGTAGGCGCAGCAGGAGTAGTAGTAGTAGTAGTAGTGGTGGTAGTAGTAGTAGTAGTGGTAGTAGTAGTCGTCGTCGTAGCAGTGGTGGTAGTAGCAGTAGTAGTAGCAGTCGGAGTAGAGGAGGAGGAGTAGGAGTTGGAGTGGGAGTTGGAGTAAGTAGTAGTCGCAGAAGTAGTACTGGTCATGGCAGTAGCAGTGACAGCAGCAGTCGCTGATGCAGCCAACGGCAGCAGCAGCAGCAGTGAACAATGACAAAGAAGATTTAAATTTGCGACAGAGTCTCGATACGTACAGCTGCAGCACCAAAAGTCATCGCAATAGCGATAGCCGAGTCGTGAGTTGCGAAATCAAGACTCCAGTCCTTATGCCAGAAACTGCAAGTGCAAACAAGAATCCTACCTCATGTGTGTACCATGCACTGTGATAGCTGACGCGTGTATTTCCTAGATTTCCGTACCAGGTCTGAACTTTTTCTACATCAGAAAGATGCAACGACAGGTGAAACACCACTGTTCGAAGCAGCCTCTGCGGCGAACCTGCGAATTGTTGCTGCGCTGCTGCTGCATGGGGCAGCAACAAGGATGCAGATCAGACAAGCGTAGTTCTGCTCATCCTAGCTTCCAGGTGTACTGATATTGAAACGACTCTCGTTAAAGTTTGACAGGGTGTTCGTTGACTACATTACATTACAGCAGTGGGTCCCGAAAACGGTGCAGACGTATTGTCCTCCACGCAACACTGGTGCCATGTCATCAACATGCATGTCCGAGGATTCTTTGCACCGTTCAGAGCATGGTGCCGTTGCTGCAGACATGGCCTCAGTCGCCAAACAATATCACAAATTCCAGTGCGTGCAGTGTTTTCTGAAATTGAATGCAGTTCGCAGCATGGTTACGGGGACAAGATGTTACTTCTGAGCATGCCTTACGCATCATTTCCAAATGACATGATGTGCTAAGTGCCTGAGGACGTAGCGGAGGATCCAGCAACACGAGCTTTGCTGAGAAGATGGGATGGCCAGGACTCGGTTCCAAAGAGAGGCTCAACTGAAACTGGGAATTTGACGCTTCATCCTGGTTTTCGCATGTTCAACGAGATTATTGCCAAGGTGATCTTGTCCAGATGTTGGGCAAGCTGACAGAAGCTGATGCCAAATCCGTGGCCTCACGGTTGAAGCTCGAGGTGAGCATGGAGGAGCTGAATGACTGCGTCCGGTCACAAATCTGAATCACTGCATGCCTGCACGCACCAACCTAGTGCACCATCACCAGGAGAGCCAGCCAGAAACTCCGGCACAGATTGATCCTGCGAGCCCTGGAGTTCGATATCGCGTCGTGTACAAGAAGGTCCGATGCAGCACAAAGGCGGCGTAGTTTTTT